AATAAATCATCATGATCTATAATGCAAATTTAAACAGGACACAAGCATTGTGAAATTTTATTGAAGTCAGTGATAGTTAAAGGTGATGAACATCTAAAGGGAATTTACTTAGCATGTTTGATCAAGCATAAAAAGTCGGAAAAATCATGGAAGTTGGGAAAAGCTGAGCTCTTTAGTATAATTATTTCTTGTTGATCTAAAATATATATATATAAATTCTGTATTTGCAATGCTTATTTTCTGAAAGTTGGTTTCTCTGAGGTACTTGCACTGTGGATTAATGCTAATTAAAAAAAAAAAATCAAGAGAACATTATTAGCTGAAGCTGTTCTCAGTTTCAAAGAAGTGTCCTATTCAGTTTGTGTTCCTCCATTTTAGGTAAATATTATGCTTGAGGAGACTACTGGAACTTCAGAATAGCCAATCTGCCTTTTTACTAGAAAATACCTTAAAACAACTTACTGGATGGTTGTGTTGTACTGTATGTAGTAAAGACGCCAAAGAGTTTTTATTAAAAATTGAAATACTTGACTTCCTAGAATGGTTTAACAAGTATGCCAGCTTTTTCTTTGCAAATGTCAAACTTGCATAATTAATTTTGCAGGCTTTGTAATAATGTTTATGGCGTGACTTATTGTATACACAGTCTGTTTCTATAAACATTACACGGATTTATCAACAACTGATGGCAGTAGAATTATAATTAGACCTATTTATGAAAATCATTATACAGATAAAGAAAATTGGATGTTTTTCCTCTATGTTAATTGACAAGTAGAACAACTGTGCGCTCTGCCTCACTGCATTCTGCTGCTTTAAAAAGCAAATTAGAATATGGAAATAGTACTGTAGCTATGTTTCTTGTATTAATTATAGGTCCAGAGGCTATATTTAAAAGTTGAGTGTGTATGGTACTTTGATTTATTCCAGAATTAGTTGAGTTATTCTGCTTAGGAATAATGGATGAGAAAGGAATTTAATCTTCAAGGCAGATAGGAAAATGGCATAGTTTAGGCATAAATGAGGTTTCTGAAGAAGATGTAATACTGATAATCTGTAGTAATGTGGTTGTGATGATTTTTAGTGTAAATATTCAGCTTAGCTTAACTATTCAAAGCTGTTTGTTATGGTTCATAGGCCAGAAACCTGTACTGATGGTGTACTGTACAGTTTGGTGATATGTGCTGATTTGTGGTAAACAGATAAGGAATGTAGCTTAAATACTTGCACAGGCGAGTTGTAGGTTTTAAGCCTTTAAACTGACTGTGACATTCAGAAGTAATTTCAGGTATAATGGAGGGCATGCTGGCCAAATGTGTAATAAAAATAAAGAAAACAATCCAGCATTTCTCTGTCTGCTACCGCCTTGTCCTCCTCTCCCTATTTCCAAAGAAGTGCTCCATCCCATGCATTTCCCAAGGGAACGGGCCAGGGCCAGGCTAAGCAAAACACATTTTCCCTGCCTTCTGCTCTGTATTCCAGCTGCCTCATCCTCTCCTGTTTCATCCAGTCCCTATACTGTAACTACAACTTGACCTCTTCCTCTCTGGATTCTCTTCAGTCATCTTCCATTATCTCCCCATGTTAGTGTGCCTTTTGGTCTCCAGGATGACTGTATGGTGTATATGTGCTGGTCTGCAGATGAAACATCGTAGCCCTACGTTTTTCTTGATATATTGATGCCAGACATGCCCATGTTCAGTGGTTTGTAAATTCTGGAACGTTATTCTGGAAAAATTAGTCTCCACATGAACCATTAATTTTAGTGTTTTGTGTTTACAAAAGACAAAACTATCGCTCTTTTCTTTGGGAAAAATTTTAGATAAAGTTGAGATGGTTCTCTCTCCAAAATAGCAGTTTTAGAGAGATTGTAAAGTGAACTACTTTACCTAAGTTTATGTAAGTTATTTTGTTTTGTTTTGTTTTTTTAAGAGTTTAGATACCTAGATGAAAAATACTTCTCCAGGGACAGGTCTGGAGATATGTATTTCCTGCTTGTTTTACAGAGTAAATGTGTTCATATAGTTAAACTGTAATACAAGAAATCTATTCCTCATACAAAATTAGGTCAGTAATAAGAATGTTTTCAATTAAATGACAGACAAAATATTCTTTTAAAATAATTTTCTTACTGTGTGTTAAGAACATAACTGACAGTGGCCAGTAGCAAATGTCTAGGGAGCATATGAGAATGGACGAGCAGATAAACAGTTGTTTCGGCTTCATACACATTTGTTACCTAGCACTTCTGCTTCAGGAACTCCTATCTTTATTCTTAATAGCCCTTCAGAGATTTTTCTTGTGTGCATTTGCCCGTTCACCACAGAGGTTTTTCATGTTAAAAATAACCTTGGACAAAGGATTTTACAGTTAGCTACATGCCAGGTGAAGCAGTATGTCCTTTTGTTTTGCTTCGAACAATCTACTATTTTCAGATGATGCCTTCCAGTTGTTATATTGAAAGAGGTTGGAAATATCTATTCACTAGCCATCCCCTCTCACATGTTACTGCTCAGTTACAGGGAACTACGTAAGCTTGAGGCACATAGTTCTTTCTGAAAAAACGGAGGGAAGGGCAGCCGAAAATTGAAACAAATACCCAAATGAAAAACATAAAAGGATTAATTCATAAAGCAAAGCAGCCTGAGTATTTTTCAGAAATTCTGTATTAGAAGGCCAGGTAAGAGCTGTGCCAAAAGAAAGCAAAGTTTTCAAAAAAGCATGGCATAGCTCTATAAATAAAGTAAGGAGGCCAGCATAGAGCAGCATATGCTGTCATTGAAGAAAATAAGGGAAAACGGGAAAACCCATAAAACGCAGAATCACAGAATTGCTGAGGTTGGCAGAGACCTCTGGAAATCATCCAATCCAACCTACCTGCTCAAGTCACCTAGAGCATGTTGCTCAGGACCGTTGGGTTTTGAGCATCTTCAAAGATGGAGACGCCACAACCTCTCTGGGCAACCTGTGCCAGTGTTTGACCACCCTCACAGCGAAAAAGGGTTTTCTTGCATTCAGATGGAATTTGCCGTGTGTGTTTGTGCCTGTTGCCTCTTGTCCTATCACTGGGCACCACTGAGAAGAGTCTGGCCCTATCATCTTTACACCCTGCCTTCAGGTATTTATAAACATTGATAAGATCCCCCAAGCCTTCTCTTTTTCAGGCTAAATAGTTCCAAACAGTACAAAAAACATGGTAGGTAAACAGGAGATTAAGAGGGCTAAAGAATTTGAAGAGTGTCTTGCAAAGGATGCTTGAGTCGATAGCAGAACGTTTTTTAAACATGTCAAATGTAGAAAGCCAGCAGGGAAACTAGAAGATTTTCTTGATTAGAAAAGTATAAGGGGGTACTCGAGGGCGATTGATCCAAGGCAGTACAGCTCAGTGAACTCTTTGCATCAGTCTTTGCTGCTGAAGATGTTGGGGAGGTTGTCACGCGTGAGGCATTCTTTTTTAGCAGGGAGCCCACAGGAACTAGTTCAATTTGAGGAAAATATATGGGCATGTACCCATAGGGTGTATATTTACGATACAGTGTGTATATATACCATTGAACCAAATAGATATTAGATGTTTATAAGTCACTGGACTTATAAGTCAAGCGGCCTTCAACTAGGATTTCTGAAGGAGGTCAAACACGAAATTGCTAAACTACTGGCTAAGGCATACAACCCACCACTCTGCCAGGGGCCTGCTGGATGGCCAAGGGGCTGGAATTGATCCTGGAAGCTACCAGCAGGTGATTCGAAGTTTCATCCTTGATAAGATTGTAGGGTCTACAATAAATAAGATTGCTGAGGGCATGAATAAGCATGGTCTGTTGAGAAAGAGTCAACATGGCTTTTGTAAAGACATTTACTGTCTTGGTGGAGCTCCAAAGAAGATGTCAATAAGCATGTGTATTAAAAGGTTCCAGTAAACAAAGCTTATTTTTTTTCAAAGAGCCTTTCATAAGGCTCTTTATACCAAAGGCTGTTAAAGCAAATAACTTGCCATGGGATGGGAGGAAAGGCCCTTATACCTAGAAAGATGTTCAAAAGTTAGGGAGCCAATAGTAAGGCTTAATAGTCATTTCTCGTAATGGAACAGACTCAGTAACCAACGGAATTAGTGCTGGGTCTGTCTTTTATTCAGCATTTTCTTCAGTGGCCTAGCAAGGGAGTCGATGACCTGATGAACGCAGAACTATTATTACCAAATCTTGCAATACTAGAACCAGGTAGCACTGGCTGAAACCAGCAGGAAACTATCTTGAAACAGAGAAGGTAAGTGCTGTACGCAGAGGGCAGTGACCTACTGCAGCTTGCTGCCAGAGCAAGTTGTGGGGTCAGACAAGTAGCAGCAGGATCAAAAAAGGGTTAGTCATATTCATGGAAAACTCGTTCAGCAGAGATAATACATGGAATAAACAGTGATATATCCTCTAGCAACCCTAATCCAGTGGCAACGGATGATGGCAACATACACAGGAAATGGGCCACGAACGGTGTTTTGCGTGCTTTCCCTAAAAGCAACTCCTGCTATTGCTATTGCAGGCAGAGTACTGGTCTAGATATATCATGGTTCAGACCTAGTAGAACATTTTTTTTTTCATAAAAAATTGTTTATTTGCTCTAGACAAATAAAAGATTAGCATTTGTGATAGTTATGTGTTTGAGAGGTGGGTTTTTTTTTAATCTTCATGGTTATATTACTTTTATACCTACGGTTTTCATATGCATTTCAATAAAAGAATTCTCACGCTTCTGCTCAGAGAAAATACAGCTTTTTTTTTCTTACTTAGTCTTAAATAAGAACACCAGGATATTTAGTTTTACTAATGAGCTGTAAATTGTCAAATTTTCCTTTTTCAGAGAAATAGCTTGAAAGGACTACTGGGGAAAAGGTGAAAACTTACTATAAATCTATTAGATTTATGTAATCTACAGATAGATTGTATACAAGATGCTTGTATACTTTTAAATCACCATATGTATTTTTCTTTCCTTCTTCCTCTCAGGAAAGGAGACTGAGAAAGCCAAAGACCGATGTGATAAAGCCACTATGAAGCTGCATATGTTGCATAATCAATATGTGTTGGCACTGAAAGGAGCACAGTTGCATCAGCACCAGTATTATGACACTACACTTCCTCTGTTACTTGATTCGCTGCAGAAGATGCAAGAAGAAATGATTAAAGCCCTGTATGTGGTATTTTCTTATATTTTTCTAACTTGCACAATTTTATGTATATCCCAATTAATTTATTACTGCTAGAAAATAATGAACTGTAATTAATTACTTCTCTATAAAAGAGTAATGAAAAAAGTTATTTTCTTCTTTCCATTGACAGCAGTTGTGCATAGAAAAATCTATTCAGGTAAACACGGACAGTAGTATCAAGGAGTTATGTAATCTCCTAGTGAGAGGCTGTCTTCTCATGAAACTCTTAAAATCTTAGAGATTGTGTGCAGTGTTTATAGTTGAGCTGATGCTTTATCCTCTCTTTGAGTTTGGACACTGTGGCAAGTTTGTTGTCTGTTCAGTAACCTTATTTTTTGAAATTTTGCCAGAAGAAAATTTGGTTTTAACTGGCAAACAGTCTTGAAAACTATCTGGGAGGAAGGTTAGACAGATGCGTGGTTACTCACGTGTGCATGCAAGTCACAGGATCATATAAATCTAATTTCACTGTAAGACGTACAGTCCGAAAGATACAATTACCTTTTTCTGAAGGGTCATTCTCCACATCATTGATGAAGAGGTGCAAACTGGTGATCTCAGAGAACTATAAATGAGGACTTTATGCTCTGTCTTCTGATTTGTAACCACCATGCTGCCTCCTTCTCTTTCCTGAAGAGAGAGTGAGTGAGTTTAGGAGACTGTTCTGTAGTTCTTTCTCGAGGGCGTTACTGAGGACGGCAAGTTGAAAATATTGCTTGTAAGTCCCTTATTTTTAAAGAAAAGCAGTTAACCTCTTTGTGTAAGTATCATTCATATAGAGGTGAGGCACTCGTCTTTTCTGTAACTCATTTTTGGAAATGTGCATCCATCTTGACTTCAGCACATATGAAGAAAGGCAGAGTTGGAGATGTCACGCTCTACATGCTTAGGTGATAACATTAACTGTCTCATGAAGCATCATACTACTACTTCTGATTTTGGTAAAGGTATCTAAATGAAGTAGACTCTCTGCACAGACTTTTTATCTTCACTTCATATTTAAAGTCCCAGCAAGAGACTGAATTCAGTTAAATTTCTGTACTGTATTAGAATTGTGAGTTATGATAATTCACTGGAGTTTTATCACTGAAAAAGAACCTATTGAACTCGATTGTCTTTGTCATCTCTGAAGTAAAAAACTGCAAAAATATTTTTGTCGCTAAAGACATTATTAGCGGGATGTGAATTTACTGGATAATTACTGCTGTCTGATATCTTTGGGCCTAATTCTACAAAAAGAGGTGGTGATGTCACATATACAGGTGGTGTGGCCATCCATGTGAAATACATACATCCTTAATAATTTTAATTTTGCAGATTACATAATTCAATACACTTGAAGCATAGATTAAAATTACTAATATTAGTTTTGATTTGGTGGTAGTGGACAGAGATCCTCTTGCTCTTAGATGTGGCATTGCTGTAGTTGACGTTGGCTTGTCTCTTTCCCCACGCTTTGAGCTGTGTTTTGAAACTTTTTCAAACTTGTTTACAGTCAAGTCAACATTTAATGACTTTTCTTGTCTGTTTTCTCCTCAGAAAAAGTATTGAAGAAATCCAAGCAAATAATGTTTTTTTTTTTTTTTAGTGTGCAATGAACATAACTTGAGCTCTTATCCAGGAAAAATCTATTAATACTTTTTTCTGTGCACCTTCCTCTGGGTCAGTCATAATTCAGCAGTATTTAAAAAAAAAAGCTCACTGTGCTTCAGAACTTAGCCAGTCAGCAAATTTGTCACAAAGAAAAATGAAATAGGAAATGATTATGAGTCACTTATGGAAAGCTAAAAGTTAAAGAGAATAGGATGGTATTCTAGGGAAGTGTCCCTGGATGCCAATAAAAGTAGTAGTAGAATATCACTTATTTTTCTTTCACTACTCCTTAATCACTTACTTCTGCCCACTGCTGGAGGCAGGTCATAAGGCTAGATGGCTCTTATTTTCTCAGGTAAACTTATTGTTTGATTTTGTTGCTTCTTGTAAATATATGCAAACTTGTGACTTAGGCATATACTTGTCCTAATGACTAAGTCATAAAAAGTAGTTATCATAAAAACAGTTAAAACAATAGAGAAAACCGTATCGTGAAGGAAACGCGCTAATTATTCTCTGACTCGTTTTACCATATGTCAGAGTATATTTATTTTACCAGTCAAGGGAACATGAAAGGCTTTAGTGTAAGTGATGACTAGTGAGATAAGTCTTGTTCTGGAAAAAAGAGTGTCATCAGTGAGCTGTATACATGCCTTTTCCCTACAGCTTTAATTCGGCTATGCTGCATGTAGATGCTCTGAAATTAGTGGGAGGAGCACGATCATAAGAGATTTCTCCACTCATAGCCAATCTATAAAGAAGAGGCCACAACTGATCTGTTATTTCTTCAAGTTATGTATGGTATTAGTTTTTGTTTTTTAGCCAGCTGAAAGATGAGTTTGTAAAAATAGCTAATTGAAAGTTTGAAACATCTTCAATGCCTTTATGCCTTCAGTGTGATGTTATATATTATAGATAATGTTTTTTCCCTCTCTAGAAAAGGAATTTTGGATGAATATAGCCAGATCACTAGTCTTGTAACAGAAGAGATTGTGAACGTCCATAAAGAGATCCAGACCTCTGTTGAGCAGATAGACCCTAACTCTGAGTATAATGACTTCATAGAAACTCACAGGTATACGTTTTCATACAGTTCTTGCAGAGTAAGGAGTGCCTGAAGCAGAAGAATGGAATACTAATGCGAGAATAAGAATACAATATAATAATAATACTGAATAATAATACAAGTAATGCAAGAACATTTTTTTTGTTTTATAAATGAACTATATTTGCTGTTTTTTGAACTGATATTTTATATTGGTATGTAAGTGAATAGTCTAAAACTTCTTGCATTATCCACTGTTGTTAATGTGCGAATTGATAATTTTTACAAGCAGATATATAGGTGGTTCAGCAAAGAGTGGACCCATGCAAATAGATTCCCTATTCTAGATAATAGATGTTAATTTTGCAAATGTAACTTTTATTTACTAAATTAGGTCATCAGAAGTTGTTGAGCAAGAAATAGAGTTTGATACATCTTTACTAGAAGAAAATGAAAACCTCCAAGCTAATGAGATCATGTGGAATAATCTAACAGCAGAAAGTTTACAAGTCACGTAAGTCTTCCTTCACAAATCTTTCATCCTTTCGACATGCTATCCTACGTTATGACGTATGTTATGAGGCTCAATCAACTTAACACATAGCTGAGTCCTTAGTTAATCTATTGTAAAGGTCCAGTTTCTGAAATAATGTTTTCAGGCTATAGACTCTTGTCCACTGTTGTTTCTATTCTTCCTTTGCACAAAATGCTTCCCCCCCTGCCCCAGCACCCATTTTGCCTGAACTTTCGATCTAGTCTCCTCTCCTCCCCAAGTAATTCCTACAATGACCCAAATCCGTCATGAATACTCCTTGGGAACACATTCATCTTCTCCAAAGTGCTTCCACACTTACTTCTCTAGGAAAAGCACTGAAAATTATTGATGAAGCCACTAAGTACAGTGGTGCAGTTGGTGATTTAAATCTCCAACCAGGAAATGTTCATAAATACATTTATTTTACTTATTTTGTAGGTATTTTGCTTTTATTTTCTAAAAAAAAAGTCTTACTCATTGTTATGACCTTTAAAGCACTAACATAGACGTAGCTTTTGTATTATGTTTCATGGCACTTTTGGCTATTCAAGGTGATAAACTCCCTCTATACATATTTTGTTAATCTGCTGTGTAATTTTCTTTTTATTAATTTCCCCAGCCATGCCATAGTTCAGTTGTAACTGGGGAACAAGTCTCCTGTTGAGGTTTAATATCATTTTATTATAATATTCTTGTTATCTTGTCATCCTCAGCTTTTGCCATGAAATCATCTGATACAGTCACTGATGGGACTGCAACTATTGTACATTTCATTTGTTTATATTGATTATAAAATGATACATTTTATAATCAATTACCAATTGATCAATTATCTTTTTATAATTGGTAAATGATCTTTTTGTGTCTGTAATGTATTTCAATCTGTTTGACTTGTTTTCCTTTTTCCTTAGAAAGCATAACTAATCCAAATAAAAAAAATGCATTTTTTGAGTTTTTGAGTTTTTGTCCTCTTAATCAAACTATGACCTTTGTTTCCTTCAGTTTTTTTTCTAAACATCAAAATCATAGTGTAGGGCATAATAGAAGTGAGGCACTTCAAATGCAAACTCATTACAGTGTGTCTTCTGTAAATTATTCTAATCCCTGTGTTTCCCCAACACTGTTGGGATTCTCTGGATTTTGTTCATTTTTGTTAGCTATCCTCTCTTTTTCCTGTGCAGTCTAATTACTTTTCATAAATTTATTCTTAAATAGATATTGAAATAAATTCCCTTATATAAAGTTCCAGGCTACTTTGTCAGAATACTCCTGCTCAGGTCCCAAACATTTTCATCTTTCTTATGAAAGGATCCATTAAAGACTAAAGCTCCTCCCTCCCCTTTAAACATACTTCTGTTTATAATATATTCTGTGTCATTACTAAGTTGAGCTTAGTTCTTGGATAAGCTATGTATGAGTTGTACGTCTAGATGTACTTCAGCACAGTTACAGGAAAAAAAAATTTACCAAATCTCCCTTTTAATATGCCTTACAGTTCTTTTTATAAGATTCTACCTTTCATAGCTTCAAAAGATAACTTCTTGTTCGACTTGTCTTTCCTGTCCTAGTATTTAGAAATAAGCCATTAGCATGTCTAAGCAAAACAGCCAAATTACTGCTTTTTTTAGTAAAAGATTTTGATGAAATGGGTGTTTGTGTTTGTACATATTTACCTACATATCTGCACAAATACACATATTTTTTAATACAACTTTCAGCATGTCCTTTTATAAAGCTTATATTCATGCACTTTAAATTCTTTCATACATTTCAGAGAGAGATTCCGTGGTGTGATTTTATTTTTGGAACAGGAATCAAATAGCTCTTTTAAATGTTGCTGACTTCAAGATGTCCACTTGCTGATATTGATTATATTAAGACCTGTGAGTAAAGAAGTTTGATTGTATTAGGTCAGACCAAAGGTTGACCTAGCCAACTTTCTTCTCTCTGGCATTAGCCCACTGGGAAAATGGAGCGAAGAGAACAGGACCAGAATGTGTATGTAATGCTATTTCCTGAGAATATCTTCTCAGCTCCCATAATTTGCAGCTCAAATATTTGAGCCAGAAGTCATATTTGTTCCTGATGGCTTTAGATATATTTTTCTTGTGTGACTTTGTCCAGTCATTTTCAGTATATGTAAGTATCTGTCATCCACAATATCTTCAGTCAAGGAATTCCAAACATTAACTTCATGTCATATGGACCTGTTACTTCCTAGGTTCGTTTTATAGCTCAGAGCTCTTATTTTGGACGAGAATGGGAACAATGTACTCCTTTCCACCCAGCTCATGATACTGTAAACTTCTACCATACTCCTACTCGATCATCACTTTTCCAGACTAAACAGTCTATAACTTTAGTCCTTTGTTTCACAAATTATCAAGCTTGTCATCTTTCTTTGAGTGTTTTCAAGGTTACTGTATTGCTTTTGAGATCAGTGCCCAGAATTGCACAAGTAATCAGACGCATGGATTAAAGAGAGGCATAATAAGGTTTCCTGTATTCTGTGGTGTTCTGCTTCATTTTTAACAAACCCTAGCAAATCATTCTATATGCTTTTTCTGACCGCTGCTGAGTATTGAGGCAGTGTTTTCTTGGCATCATCTGTTGTAACCGCAGGATGTCATTTCTGAGTGTTAGCTATCACCTTAGAGCCATTCACTGTCTAAATAAACTTTTGGATTATTTTTCTTTATGTGTTTGTTTATTTTAATAGACATGGAAATTTATCTTTTACATGATGGTCCAGTTACTATGTATCATAAGGTTCAGAAAAATCCTTCTTCATTCTTCATATTCAGCCTTTTTCTTTCAGCATTCTTTATCACCTTCATTATTGTCCTTTTATCTGGATTATTATGGACCTATTGAGCTGTGCAGGTTTTTGTAGAGCCCCACTAGTGATTTTCTGGTACTGTGCAAACTAATTATTATTAAAACTCTTTCCATTTTTAATTTTTTTTTCAATACGAGTGAGACCCGGTTGCTGATTTAATTTTCTTTAACTGCTTTTACAGATATACCTTATCAACTACTTTTTAGATAGGCTTTGAACTACATTCAGTACCTAGCAAATATAATAGATTCATATCCTATTTATTTCCCAGGCTTTCAATAGATTAGATATTAACTTAGAATCAATACTTTTTGGTCAAACCGATCTTTTTTTGTGCGTATATGAGGGTAAAGATAGCTTTACAGGCAGTACTGATCGAAAGTCATAATAAAATATGTTTACGAATAAAGAAGATATAACAGAGAGAGGTAGTTAAAAGTTAGTGTTTACTGCAGAACTTTTCTAAGTAATGAGAGATGTGGCATCTCCTGATAAGTGTTGATGATGAGCACAGAGTAGTATTGAGACATTCTGAAAAGCATAACAGAATAAAAGTTTATGCTTGGAAGGTGCTTGGATGAAAAATCAACAGGAAACAACTCTAAGGAGTTAAGTGTTGGCCAGTGGGAATATGAATTCATATCAACTTTTTTAAATGAAAGCTTTGTACAGCACAAACATTAAACTCACTAATATTTGAGACAGTGTAATGCTAATGACTAAAGAAATGTGTAAGGTTTTCCTGGTTGCCAGAATAATACATCTCATTTGAAGAGAGTTGTTTTCTAGGGTTTTTTTTTTTTTTTTATTTGTGTCCTCATTCCCTTAAAACCTGAAAATTTGGGATTGTGTGATTATTAAAACTAACAAAGATTGCAGTGACTAAAGTGACTGATGGGAAAAAGAAAACTCTTCTAAACTGACTTTATCCAGGAGGTGTGTGTGAGGCCACAAGAAACTTCCTTTGACAAACTGTAACCAAGGTGTGATTCAATGCAGCATCAAAGATGTCAGGTCTAGCCGGTTTGAATGCAAATTATTGTTTAAAACAAAAAGATTGAGTAAGGGAAGATAAGTTGTTTTTGTGTGTGTGGCTTCGTTTTGTTTTTTTGTTTTGTTTTTCCTCAGCTAAGTAGAAACATCCAAAGTACCTCATATGTTTTGGGGAGAGCTACATCAACTTCCAATTTGAATCTGATGCTCTGACATAAAATCAGATATTTTTGATATGGCAGAACATTTTAATGTGGTCATTCTGTATATATACAATCATGCACTCCAGTGACGAACACTGTGTTCTGTATTTCGATCTTAACTTCCTGAGTATTGGTTTCTGATCATTAGATGTAAAATCTGTTCCCCATAAGTCAATTGTTAAGGTTAGTTACAATGTTGGTTAGAAAACTGAAGAAAGAGCAGTATTTTCAGCTACGAAACTGGTAATTAAATATTTTTAGCAAGGTGTAAAAAGAAAAAAGTTTATGGTTGATATTAAATTTGAGACTCAGTGTAAGAAAATTGTCGTTTCTGAAAAGTGCAGCATACAGGTTGTGATAACCTAAAAAAAGCATTTAATAAAAATAAGCTGTTATGATATTTCTTTAAGAGATATAGATATTTTAAGCGTTGTCTTTATGTCAAGATAAATGCACATAGATGCTTGTTCATGTAGGAAATTAACTTTCTTCATCCAGTATGTGGCTTTTTTATATACTAATTTGTCTTCTAAAATGAGATCTAGGACTGTCTGAAAAAAAACTGTCTAATCAGCAATGTACAAAATAGATCAAGAGGAGAAAGAAGTAATACCATGTTTAGGATCAAATTACTCACTTTGGTATATATGACACGTGGAACACAGCTTATAGATATCTAAAGGCCACGTAATTTACTCAGTTGACTACTTCTGCAACTCCCCACTCAAGAAGCATTTTGGGCAAAAGATCTGTGCAGTAACAAGTACTATACGTATTTTGCCTTTGTTCTGAAATTGTGCTTAACGATACAGGACAAGCAGAGAAAAATAGTTGAAGATGGATCGATGAATGAAAAGATGGAAGGTTTTTTTTTTTTTTTAATTTTTCTGTCTTACACTTTGTTAAGCAATTTCTGTATTTTGATGAGTGTTTTATAAGTTGTCAATATACTATGAACTTACCTGCTTTGTGGAGAGCTGACCGAGAGGTATATCACAAAGTCTTATTTAACGTTAGTTGACTTTCTTGGTACTGGAATGTTTGCCAGTATAATTGCAAAGTTTCAATAATGGTTTTAGTGTTCAGTAACTGTTTCCAGGTTAGTGCTGAGTATTCCTGTACAAGTTTTACTTTTACTTTGGATTTACCGTTACCAAAGATTGAGTAGCTTTTAAAAAAAGTTGTTAATTGTAGAGAAGAGTATACACATCATTCATGCAAGTTAAAGTAACACTTTTCTGTGTAAGAGATGAATGTTGCTTTAATATCTAATGCAAGACCTATTGGTTCTGGTTTTATTATTTCCAGAGAAAATACATCACAACTACCGATTGCACGTATTTATCTAAAGTGTACTGCCACAGTGGAAAGTTTTTTGTTTTTCACAGAGCTTCTGGTGAATTAGCAATATATTAGAGAGATATTAATCCAGATAACATGCATTCTAGAGGAAGTTTTCTTGATAGAAGAGCCTGCAGGCAGTGGATCATATATGTATATGCAATCGAATATGGGTTCTGTAATAACAAAGTTTCATAATGAGCTACAAAAAAAGGCCATCAAGCAGCAAGTAACATAATTTAAACACTAATTTTCTTTTTCATCTTTAGAAAAAGAATGCAGTGTTCCCGAATATGTAGAGTTTGTGTATGCATACCACTGATTGCTGAACTGTATGTGTCACAGGTTAAAAACGGTAATAGAAGAACAGATACAGACCCAGCAGACACTTCTGAGCAAAGAGGAACTTGTGCTGGAACTAGAGAAGAAAATAGAAGAATCTTCTAAAACTTGTGAAAAGAAATCAGAGTAAGTATAACAAATATCAAAATAAAATAATTTGAAAGGAAATTGTCTGTAATGCAATTCCTAAGACTTAAATATGAAGTAACCTCCACTAATCTTGTTTTGCTTTAGTGAGAATTATTATCAATATTAAAAAAAAAAAAAAAAAAAGTTAGCTTCCCACCTCTTAAATGAACCTTCCCTGCTCCAGATCCTAACTGCTTAGAGAGCTGGGCAACTCTTTTAATTCAATTTAATTGTCGTACTGTTGGGATGGCTCAAGAACCAGACCTTTGATTAGCATTGTAACTTTAACCTGGCAGAACAAAATGCAGTCTTGTCAAATGGCTCTGCAGTTGCATGCAAAAAGGTGGAACTCTTGATAGTTGGAGTATAGGAGTGTGGTAAGAGCCAAGAACGGTCGTCTTATGTGGTGATCTGTTACAAGACCACTTGCAGGGTTTTCCCCCACCCTAGATCTTTGTCAAGCACTATAGTATGCCTGAAGCATCTAGAGCTGATACAGCCTTCAGCAGGATATGCTACAACTGTTGTTTGGAAAAGGAAAATCTCAGATCTTTTGCAAGATTTTATTTATGGGGTAACAGTTTGAAGTCTCTCAGTGTGGGAATGTAAGTAAGAAATCTCTCTCACAAAAAGGTGAATCAATAAGTAGACTAAAAACCGGCTACTGGACGTGAAACAGCTGTAAATAAATCTTCTTAATCTGAATTGCTGAACTTTATTTTTTTTAAATCGATGTGGAAGAAAAATGACTAATATGTTGAGATGAGTTACTAGAAAACTGAGACTGCATTCTGTATGGTGCTTAGCTAATTGTGTTTTAATATATCATATCCAAATGTAAACTTACGCAAACAAAAAGGAGAGCTTACAGTGGTTGAGGGTGGCTGTCGCTCTGGCTTTGGAAAAGTGTTGGTAATAAAGGAAATGTGAAAATGCTATTGTGATCTCTGACTCTATAAATGGTGAAATATTATATCAGAAGATTGTTATATAGGTGAGACTGCTGTTAGAATATGAGTTCCAGTTCTGATGTTGAAAAACAGGAGATAGTTCAGAGAAAAGCCGTAAAAATGTATAGAAGACAAGAAAGATTTTCTTTTAGCCTCTTGTGTAGTTGAATTTGTTGAGCTTAATAAGGAGAATGTTGAAGAGTGTCTTGGCTGCAGTCCAGAAATACTCACCCAGTAGAAGACCTTTTAGTCCAGAAGACAGAGACAACAGGTATATCTCATTTGAAGCCAGACAAATTTGTAGTGGATATGAGTTTAATAGTGAAGATAATTACCATTATAACAACTATGAGGATTGCGGTGGATTCCTCATCACTGGATATAATAGTCTAAAAGTGTATTTCTTCTCTATTTCTTCTTACTCAAATATGAATTAATTTAGGGAACCTTAGTGGTTATGAATTCAGTCAAACTGGATGAAAATAAAGCATTTATTGCAACACGATTTTTGCGGTACATTGAAAAACAAAGGGAATGACTAAATAGGTGTATGCTTTCGTTATCCTGTAGCTTTGACAGTTTTCTAGTATTTACCCCATGCGTGTATGCTTTTGAGCAAGTAACTGAAGACTTTTAACACTCTTACTTACAAAAACTTAATAACATTTCCTTCGTTAACTGGATAGGTAAAGTGAAAGTAAACAAGTTCCAGTATTGAACATGTTTTCTTTTGTGTAGCTTTCATGAAACAAAGTTTATATTTTCAATCATGTGTGTTTTTAAGTTGGTTGTTGTTTTTCTCTGCAGTATTGTACTTTTGCTAAGCCAAAAGCAAGCACTGGAAGAACTCAAGCAAACAGTTCAGCAATTAAGATGCTCTGAGGCAAAATTTGCAGCCCAGAAAGAACTACTAGAACAAAAGGTTCAAGAGAATGATGGGAAAGAGCCACCACCTGTAGTGAATTATGAAGAAGATGCCAGATCAGTCACTTCTATGGTAAGCTTTGCATTTGTTTTACTAGGTCATGCAATCTTGCTATTGTACTTCAGTCTTGGGGCAGAGGCCTAAGACATACAGATGCCTAACTGAAGATAACATATCTCACTTTGCATTTGTGGAGGCTTACTTAGTTGGATAGAACAGTTGATCAATTGTTATTTTTCAAGTTGCAGAAATTTGATCACTTGTAACTCTCTCGGTACGTCAGTGGACTTTGGCCTTCTGCACCCTTGATACTTAGACTCTCATTAGATAGTTTTTATAATCAGAAGTATAAATCCTTAAGCAGATTTAATAAGTATATAAACTGTGAGTAGCTATTGATAATTACATTGGCTATATTGAAGAAGTATGTTCACAGTTGTAGAGAGAAATCTAGTGGTAAAACACGTTTGGAATCACAGCACGCGTGTAGTTGAGAAATGAATTTAACATACTGTAATCACTGTCTCACTCATATTTGCAAACACTGATTTCTGTACAATTTATTTTTTAAATATTTACATGGTCTTGACAAGCAAAATGAACTTTTTATATTACTTGACGGGACAGTGTAATTTAAATAAGTGCTTTACTTTGCAAATATTGTGTGTGACTTTCTTTTCCTAACTGTATGCAGTTATGTGTAAGGTAGAGATAGCAGGCCATGTGAAGAAAAAAAAAATGTGTTATATGTGTTTACTAAAGGGATGGGCAGTAGTATTTGCTTTTATGGATTAGGTTTCACATACCTGAGATGTTTGTGACTGGTTTTGATATTTAGCATGCCATTATTTTCGATCCACAGAGCATGGCAATAGCTCAGTGAAGTGATAATGAAATGGTTGCATGTGCGAGAGAGATGCTTTTTCGTCTATCTATTTGTGGACCTAAGTTTGTTTTTTCTTCCACTCCTCTTTTACAGTTATACTTACTTGTCAGTATTTTCTTGTTTCCATTACTATTGTTAAATATTTACAAGGTGCTGGCACGATGGTTGCCATTTTCGCTGGTACAGAACATTATTTTTATGAAGCTTATATGTTTATCATAATTTAGGAGATGATGATAAAACACAAAAAGATGAGGACAGAATATGAAGGATCAGAATAACAGTAGTGAAAGAATAGGAGATTTGGATTTTTTTGTTTGTTTGTTTCTTGTTGTCATTGTTTTTTGGTTTGGGATTTTTTTTCCAGATAGACTATCTTGTTAGTTATTTTATGTACCATTCTGTAATAGTGAATGTTCTCTGTAAGGGTCAGTTGAAATGACCCATGTAAAATTTCGGTAGAATCATATTCTTCTACTTCAGTTAAAGGTTACTGAAGTCTGTCTTGAAGTCTGTCTTCAAGTCTGTCTTGCCGTGTCCAGATCTCTGTTTGAATATGTGGGAGAAAAGGCTATTGCATTTACGTACAATATAAAGTAAGGAATTCTTACCTCTGATTTTTTTTTTTTTGGAATAAAAATGATCTATTTTATCTTTTTTGCTGCAAGTAGTACATACTGAAACCTCTAGAATGACACAGTTTCAATTAATTCCTTTCAGAAACAGCAGTGAAGAAATTTTTGCATACGTTCAATGCGCAGAGAAAAAATAAAATTTTGCTATTTTATTTTGGGTTCAGAGGATTTTTATAATACAACTTATTTGTAGGCATTATTAAGAAAAAAGGAATGAGACTTCAAGGCTGTATGTTTTCCTTTGAGTGAATTACTTAAGAAGGGCAAATTACGTGTAAATTTTGTTTAACCCATAAGTCGATATCCTGTGCTAATAAAATTGACTGAATAGTGTTAGAAACAACAGCAGTCTAAATTAAACCTTCTTCAATTGCTCTACATGGAGAGGGAAGAGTTTACTGTGTCTAAAGACAAAAAATAATACAGATGAACTATTTAAGTTATGCAGATGCTCAGTAATCAGTAATGGAATATTCTTGATGCTGTTGCTCGTCCTGGCACCATCTCTTAAGTTAATCATTCAGGAAGATCGTTATTTCTTCAGTTATAAATCCATCTGGGTCTTTATCTAAAACCAGGTCATCTAAATGATTTGAATGTAGCTATTTATTCCTCTTCAAAAATTCATTGTAAACACTTGCCTTACGTTTTTTTTCTTACGAATGACGAAACTAATATTGGCTTGTGTTGCGAGTGTGCATATTTGTTTGCCTGTGAAGTAGACTTTGCATTCTGTCACAAGCTGAATTTTATTTTGCTATTAAAAATATGATACACAAAACAGCTTTATGAAGTTGCGTGTCTCTATTTGAAGTATTTATATGGCATCATATAAATACAGCCAATTTCTTAGGGAAATAATTTGCAAATTGTTTTATTTTCCATCTGTTAAACTAGGTAACAGTGCTGTAGGGTACTAACAAGGAATGCAGTTTTGAAGTGCTGCTTGAGGTGTTTTTGTAGACAGGATTATGTTACCTTAGTGCCTCCATTAAATGTAGGAAGGTTCATATTTTATTAGTGTGTCTTCAATATAATGTTGGTTTGTTCAATATATTTTACTGTTTGCAGAATGTTAGTTGTGTATTGATGTTCATGTAAACATTGTAAGGAAAAAGGAAATTGCTAGAAGATTCTGTTTTGTTCATCATGATGGCATAGTAAGGAATAGAAAAAAAATTCTGTTTTGGCTCTTCCTGAACTGCAATTGCATTTAAGAATGTTGAAAAGTAGAACACTTTCTTATTTCTAACGTTTATGCCATTATTACTAAGCAAGATGAAAGATAGCTTTAATGCTAAAGGTGCCACAATTTTAAAATAATTCCTTTGAGCCCTTGTGCAGTTATGATATCGTGCACTATGCAAGCAGGAAAATCAGATCAAACTTTCATTCTACTGTGCTTATATCAAAGTATAGCCTATCATTTGTCTTAAGATTCGTGTATTCGACTTTTGCTATTAGTATGGTCAGTAGAGCGTGGCAGCAGCCCACCACAATTAAAACAAACAAACAACAAAAACTCCTTCTATAGGTCTAACGATCTGGTTAAAAACATCAGGAAAAATTGGAATATTGCAGTGCCAGCGTAACATTTGCTTTAATTAAGTACATGAGACTTTAAATGAGGATGCTTTGCATTTCATAGTAAGATTTCAAAATCGCAGAATCTGTACTGCCTTGGGTACTGTTACAGAACAGGAAGCCCACAGGAGCTTTGAAAGCCTGGCAATAGATTTATTTAATATAAAATAGTAATTTATTTTGTTTAGCAATAGTAAATTAAATCTGTATGCCAATTTAATATGTCTTCTCCTTTTTTCCTTATATGATAAAGAAGGTGTAAAAAGGGGAGGGGTGCCAAAAATAAAAAAAATAAAAAAAAAAGATGTAAAGCTACACACCTAGTATTCTTAAGAATATGTATTTATTTTTTCAAAAACTATTTAACAGTCTTTTAAATAGAATAAAACGCTTGAGGACAGGAATGGTAAGATGGCACTATTTCAGGTCCTCTTTAGAAAGTTTGGGGCTATCTCAGTATAGGCATGGTTCATATAGATTTATTTTACTTATTGCAGCCTTATACTGGAAGCACTGACAAAACTGAGTATTTATATACAGGCAGTGTAATACTGGAAAAAATTGTCAGCAGGTGGAGCTCGATGCCAGAAGACCAGTTATGACTGAATAATGAAAAGTTGTCGTCACTATATATGTTCAAATAAGGCTCATGAGACATAGAAATGTTGGGGGTGGGGAAAGAAGTATGTTCTCATTTTTCTAACATCTAAATTATCTGAAGTGTTTTGCCTCCCCCTCCTCCCCTCAGTAAAATCCAGCAGTAATAACAGGGAGAGCATAATGCATGGTCTGCAACAGTATGTAAACCAACCGTAAGAGCTGTACAGCCATACTGCCGATGGGCAAGCACTACGAAGGCACTGTTCTTTCTCCATACTAAAGGACTTTTAGTGTGGCTTGGGTGTCAGGATGGCAGGTACAGATGAGTCAGTTCGTAGTGTCTCTAGTGCTATGAACTATGCTATGAAAGGTAAATAGGTTAGAGGGAAGCTAAAACATCATGATATTGTGTTAAAGTCAGTGGAATAGATCTAACTATTAATATTGCGTTCCAAGAGAATACCACTCTTAAAAATGTATGCAGTGGGGTAATGTAAAATAAGTGTTAGTATGAGATTCTACGTTTCTGAACTCCTTTTTGTCTGCTGTAGCTAAGTAATCAAGGCACTGTAGTACTGATTTATAGATGTGTTTGTAAGCCAGTTTGGTTTGCACACACGTACACACACACACACGCGTGCGTGCATATGCATTTGAGATAATGCATCATGAGGCCCTTAAACATATCCCATTGAGAGATGCACTCATGCGTTAGGGGGTCTTGTTTTCCCACACTGTCTCTGGCTATGTGAAATCTTTGTGTTCAAAGAGACACAGAAGAGAGTTGGCTTCTAGGTCAGCCCGTTGTAGCAGCAGCAGAAAGCTTAATGGTGGAAACTGAGATTGTTAATTTTTTTTCTAACTTAACTCAGAAAAATTGAGACATTCCTGTGCTTTTTAGTGTGTCACCAAACAGCTCATTTGTTCATCGATCATTTTAAGTAATTCACTACTAACTTGTGGCTCATGGTATTTATATAAAACTAAGATTGTTTAAGGGCACATAACAGAAGAGGGTAGAGGAGCCCATTACAGTTGTTTGGCTTAAATCTTATGAATCTTATACATTTATTTATAAATCTTATAAAATTACTTTGTGCTAATCAAAGATTGTAAAGTTTCTTGTCGATCGACGCAGGACCAAAGTAAGTACATGGTCTATGCAGCTTTGGTATCCTTACCCTTTCTCTTATTTTTGCGTCAGCAGAGGAAACTGCCAGTGCAGTCAGGTTATTTCCAAGTCTTTTATGAATTAATAGGCACAGTTGTTATAAACAGTTGTACTTGCTGGATTCCTGGACAGCTGAAGTTCAACTAAGTGATCTTTGCTTTGGACTGCTTTCCAAGCTTGCTGGCTGAGATATATG